CGTGAGGCAGAGGAGATGCGGGGGAAAGGGAGCAGAGGAGTGCGGGTGCAGACTGGGGAAGCATCTCTGCCATCTCCCCGACCCTTCCCCAGGTCCCCCATCAGCAGCCTGCCGACCCTCTTCGACCAGACAGTGTCCTGTAGCAGCAGCGGGCAGCTGGAGAATGTTCCCCAGGCTACCCCAAACATCGAGCAGCTCCTGGAGAAGCAGGGCAACGGAGAAGCCGGCGTAAACAGTGAGTCACTCAGGACACGGGCTGTGGGAGGAGAGGTCCTTGTGCATGTTTGTGTGGGAGCCAGCTGGGATTTTGCCCACAGGCAAAGGAGCCGGGTGGGGGACAAAGCGCTAGTCTGTGCCGTGGGGGAGTAGCTGGCAGTGGGACTGTGGTCTGGGGCCAGTCTCCTCCCCCAGTGTGGTCTAATTGCAGTACCTCCTGTGGATCCCCTTCTCCTCTTTCCTCCGTCCCCCGTTCTCTCCCCTGACCCTGTCCCCCTTCCCCTTTCCGTTCCCTGCAGTTGTAGAAATGCTCAAAGCCCTGCACTCGCTGCAGAAGGAGAACCAGCGGCTCCAGGAGCAGATCATGACGCTGACGGCCAAGAAGGAGCGTTTGCAGCTCCTCAACGTCCAGCTCTCCGTCCCTTTCCCCGTGGTGACCAGCAGCAACGGCCCAGGCAGCCAGGCCCAGTACATCCTGCCTCCTAATGGTGAGGGGACCGGTGGGATGCATCGCCCTGTGCCCCTTCGTAGCGGTGCCCTGGGGTGGGCAGGAGAGGGTCACAGTGGGGCAGATCTGACCCGTTTATCTCTCTGTAGCCACTGGCAGTACGCACTGTCCCTTGCTATTGCTGTGGCAACGTCAGGCTCCACCCCTGACTCTGCATCCTCACTTCTTTCCTCCGTACAGTCTGCAACAACGACTCCTTGAGCGTCAGCAAGAGCCCCCCATGCAAGAACAGCTTTGGGATCGAGAACTCGCTCTCCACTTCCTCTGAGGTACGCTGGCCGCCGCATCCGCCAGCCGGCTGGGGAGGGGACTTGGGGAGGGAACAGAGCAGTGCGGTCCCGGTACTCTGACTTGATATCCAGCTCATAAAGCCTTCTAGTCCAGGCCCAGAAATCAGGTTTCTTTCTCTGGAGTGCCCGTTCTTCAGTTCATCTCAGTGCTGAGTGTCGGAGTAGAGTAGCTGAGGCTGGGAGCGTGAGGTGAGAATGCTTCTAGGTTATTCTGGCCACACTTCTAGAGATCCAGCAAAGCATGTCTGAGTTCTGGGACCCCTCTGAGCACACACCTGCACTTGCACTCGCAGCCCCCTTCCCGCCTCCAGCTCCTGCCCAAAGCACCCTTGGAGCTGAGCTGACCTTTCACAAGCTGCCCCAGTCCGATGCTCTTATGTCCGTTTCTCCCCCAGGACCCTCATTCAGGTTGCCCCAGCAGGAGCAGCTCTTCCCTGTCCTTCCACAGCACTCCTCCGCCCCTGCCCATGCTGCAGCAGAGTCCTGCCTCGCTACCCCTGCCCGGGGTGCAGCAGGTGAATGGCCTGGCCAGGGTGGCAGGCAGCGGGCTGGGGGGAGGCACCACGGCCAGCCACAGCCTCTCCACGGTGCCCATGGTGGACGGCCTGATGGGGACCCTGGCAGGAGGCCAGCAGATGCCCATCAACGGGATCCTGGGGAATCTGAACGGAGCTCAGGCCGCCCAGCCTCCGAGCGCGCTGACGCAGGCGAGCGGGCCTCCGACCTTGCAGCTCTCCACCAGCCTGAGCAGGTGAGGATGGGGAGCTCGCAGGGACAGCCCTGCCCTCTCCAGCAGAAGCTTAGCACCGGGAGGGAGGGAGGCCCTACGTATGCAGGACCAAGATGGGCTGCGCTGACATTCCCTGCCCTGCTCCCCTTGCAGCATGCCCAGCCTGAGTCCCCTGACAGAGCAGCAGCGGCACGTCTTGCACCAACACGAACAACAGCTCCAGCAGCTTCAGCAGCTCCTGACTTCCCAGCCGCTTAATCCGGTAAGTGTGCCTGCTGGCACCTTTCAGCTGACGAGCTCTTTAATGGGAAAACCTCGGAGCAGAGGGAAAAACTTAGGGCTCCTTCCTTCAGGTGAATCCCCTGCCCACAGGGCTGCAAGAGTCATGTGCCTTTTCCTTGGCTCCAGGCTGCTGAGGGCGGAGCGAGGAGAAAAGCTTTAGGCAGGAAGGTGCGGCACCTCCCGGAGGGAAGGAGATGGGGATTTGAACTTTTTCATACAAAGGAAAAAATTTAATCTGAGTTTCCCACATCCTGAGGGTGTGAGAACATGGTAATGCTAAGCCACCGTAAAATGAGGAGTGCTGTTACCTCCTCCAGCCATCTTTGAATGCAAATCATGTCTGCTCCTGCTGCCACGAGCACGCTGGTCTCTGGGCTCGCAGATGTGCTGCGGCCCACAGGAGAAGAGGATCTCGCTTGAGGACACTACTTGAGTTTAGAAAGAGATAAGCACCAAATCGCTTAGTCCTGAGGTGGGTGAGCCGTGTCTGGGCACACTGACATGGAGAACTGGAGATGCCAGGGGGACTGTGTAGGTGGCTGAGGACTTCGGGGTCAGAAAAAGGATCAGGCAGCTGTTCTGAGGATCTTGGCTCTCTGCCTGCATCCTCTTGGGTGAAACAGCAGCCCCGTCCCCGGCTGTTGTGGGAATGGCTGCACAGATAGATGGTAAACAAGCTCCTGAGTGTGTAAGAACCGCGTTCACTTGCCCTGCAGAAACCTCTGCGGTGTCCCTCCCCTGCGCTGGAGTTGCACGGGCGTGCTAACAGTTCCTGTCAATGAAGCTGTGCTCATTTATATCTCCCATGAACTTGGCCCGGTTGCTTTGGATAGATTTCTGGGTCAGGCTATTTATAACCCGGGAAAAGCAAATTTCAAAGGGCTTCTTTTTACAGCAGCTGATGTCACCGTGTCATCAGCTGCATCCCTGTGGGTAGGGGAACAATGTCAGCTCTCAGCCTGCCGCATTGGTCGATGGTTGCTATAGTGATTTCCGCAGTTTGGTTGGATTCGAGGGCGTCCCTCCGGGTGCAGGTGAGCCGTGGCCCTCGCTCCCCCCGGGTCCGGCTCACCTACACCGACCGCGGGGTCAGGGCTGAGCTGTGAAGCGGGACGGGCTGGGGAAGGAAATTGTCAGCCAGTCTAGAAATGCAGGAGAGTGAATGCCACAGGCTTAAAATCCGTGGGTGGGTTGACTGGAAAGAGCCGAGTAGATTTGTGTGCCTGCGGGTGTCTTAGGGAGGGTTAGCTAATCCTACGCTTCAGGAAACAACGGGGTTGGAAAGGTCGTAAGCACAGGCTGTTAATTGAACACAGGGCAGACTGTTCCCCTCTCGACCTGTAGAGATGTGATCAGGAGGACTTTCTCCCTGTCCCCAGTAGCATTGCCTGGGATGGAGTGTGCCGATGGGGCTCCTTTGGATTAGGTGTCAGCTCTTCCCAAGCCCTTTGTCCCTCCTTTGACTTCTCTTCCTCGCCCTTCCCCGCAGGAGCAGCAGGCCCTGGTGTTCCAGATGATGCAGCAAATCCAGCAGAAGAGGGAGCTGCAGCGGCTGCAGATGACCAGCTCGTCCCAGCTGTCCATGACCAGCCTCCTGGCAGCCACCTCCGCCCCCCTGCACTCCAGCACCAGCGCCCTGATGACCTCGGCCCCTCAGCCGCCCCCCAGCAGCAGCTCCCTCCTGGCCTCCCTCTCCCCCCAGCAGCTCAACCCTAGCAATGCCCTCCTGGCCCCCCAGGCCACCCCACCGCTCAACACTCCTGGGAACAGCCTCCTGGCTTCGGGGACAGGCATCCCACCCGTCCTTACAGCACAGACTAACCCGTTTCTCAACCTGCAGGCCGATGGCAACACCCCGAAAGGAACGGTGCGTATGCTGCTAGCACTACCCTAACCCCACTGAGCTCGTGGTGCTAGGTGCTGTACAGACCCGGGGAGAGACAGTCTGCGCTACAGTTAACTTGGGGGAGCAAGGGCACTGCTTAGGCGACAGAGCCACAATGCTCCGCTGGCTTTGCTGCACCCCTGACTAGCCAGTGTCACGTCCTGATCCTACCTCCAAGGACTTCTGTAGGGCCCAGGCAGGGGCGCGGGTAGGCACAGAGGCTCCCCGGGTGCCCTTCCATGGGTGTGTGCAGACACACGCCAGACCTGCTGCAGAAGCAAGGCAGAGACAGGCCGTAGATTTGTCTCCGTTAACCCTAAGACTTGGATGGGACGATGTGCCCCTGGCAAGTGCTGGCCCTATTGGAGCCTCGTGATGAAATACGAAGGTGACTGCATGTTGAAACCCAGGGTTTAGAAGGAATCTTGCACCCAAGAGGAGAGGTTGTGAAGAGGTGTACAGCCTCTCTGTAAAGCAGCCTTGTACTGGACCACCAGTGTCTAGGGACTGATGGTGTGATACTTTCATCTCCCCTCCGTCCCTCCCCTGGCCTATACCTGTACCCAGAAGGTCCAGTCCTGGCTGGAGACACTTAGGAGCCAAAGGCCAGGGTCGAGGGGCCAGTTCGGCCTGAACTGGGCAGAGGGGAAACCCGGGGCTCCCGTGTCCCCGTTGATCTCGGAGGAGCCTGAGAGGTCGCGGTGAGCAGGGCCAGGTCTGCAGCACAGCAGGGCTCTCTGCTTCTGCCCCCTCGTGTTGCTGCCCGTCCGGTACTGATACCTGTCTCCTCTGCGTCTCTTTTTCTGTTTGTTTTTAAAGAGCATGAATGAAAAGGGAGCTCCTCTTACCCAGGACAAGGGCTAAGCTCCCCCCTCACCCCGAACAAACCAGCAGCCAACTCCTCTCAGCCAGGGGAATGTGGCTTTCCACAGTCAACCTTGATACTGTTAGAGCAATGAGCACAAGGCTTCCAAGAAGCATTTCCTGCCGCTGGGCAATGCCAAGAGGTGCTTTGGAAGACAGCACGTCTCTGACCAAGCCCCGGTATCGGGAGGAGCGAAGGTGGGGGGCTGCCTGCCGCCCTGGTCCATGCCACACATGCTCAAAGTGAAGCTGTGTTCCCACGCAGAGTGGAGGAGAGAGTTCACAGCCGATGCCTGCCAGTCTCCTCCCTGCCGTGAGTGCAAGCGTGTGTTCACGTGTGTGTAGCCCCCAGGCCAAGGCACTAGAAAGCATCGAGCATCCTTGGCCGTGACCTTGGTGGAGGGAGGCCCCTCTGCTGAGGACTCCTTTCTGCACAGTGCAGAGGAACCTGGCAGTGCCCGCAGAGGCGGCACTGGATGTGACACAGCTGGGGAAGTGGGACCTGGTGGCAGTGCCTACGTGGCCTGCTTCGCCCAGATGGGGAGGTTAAGAAGAAGTTCTGTAGCTGAGATTTCTCACCTGCTTTTCATCTGCTGGGCTCTTAGGATGCTCTTCTCTCTATAGCCATCATATGAAGCCCCGTCACCTCAGCTGGATCCAAACCCAGCCTGAAAAGACACAAGCGGTGGAGCGATGGGTAAGGACTGGTGCTTGGGGAGGAGGTGAAGGCCACCTACTTCTTTAAAGGACATTGCCACATCTGCTCTACCAGCTGCTGTCGGTTCGGTGCTGGCACACTCCTGCTCCTCTCCAT